GACAGGGCAGCCGCGGTACCTCTCTGCCTTGGCCAGTGGCTCTGCTTGAGGGGAGGATGGGGCAGGGGACAGGCAGCGAGGAGGTCCTTGCCGACTGCTAACAGTGCGATCAAGGACCACAAACTTAACGGCTACATCGACACGAGTTAACGTTCATACGGTTCCGGAGGTGGGAGTCTGACCCGATCCAGGCGTGGCCAGGGGCTGGCTCCTCCCAGAGGCCAGAGGACAATCTGTCTCCTCGTCTCCTTGGCTTTTCCAGTGTGTGGAGGCCACACGGGTCCTGGTCCCTTCCACCAGCCACAAAGAAGGTTCTCCCTCCTCTGCTTTCTAGGACCCTGGTGATTACATGGGGCTAGTCTGTCCATGTAACCAGCCTGCTGATTTGGGCAAACCTACCCTCCCTTTGCCATGTCACCTAAGATGGTCGTGGGACCTGGGGATTCAGGCATGGACATCTTTGGCATGGAGGGGGGAGTTAGGTCACCTCCCCAGAAGGCCTGGCGGGACTCACAGCCAGGCCCCAGGCCTGAGCCTGTGTAGCTGGTCAGTGGGAGGGAGGCACCTGCGGCTCTGGCACCGCCACACTCCTCAATTCGGGAACAGCCAGCTAGGGGCTGCCACTCCCTTGGATGCAAAAGCAAACATGGGGGTGTGGGGGCTCACCAGTCAGTAGGATCTATGTCATCTGACACCTATCAATTTTTATTTATCTGTGTTTACTACCTTGTATGCTTGAATCGTTGATGTCCTGGGTAGTTTGCACATTTGGTATCAGGACACTTGGCAGTCGGGAGGTGACCTCTAAGTCCCGAAGCCTCAAACTGACACGCGGGCCAGATCGTCCTGTAGAAAGATGCTCAGCCCACGCCCAAAATTCTGCTCTGCTTCTACAACCCCCCAAGGCTGCTCCCAGCCTTGAAAAATTCATATGTAGACCCAGAAATTTCACTAATGAGAGTCTCTCCTAAGGAAAGAATTCTAAATATAGAAGAATGCTCTAGTACCAGGGTATCAGAGCAGCTTTCCCTGGAAGGGTGGCTAATTAGAGACAACCTAATTGTCCAACGACGGGGGACCAGCAGCGTCCACGTGACAGCAAACCGTCTGTCCGATGGATGGGTCTGGAAGGACAAAGTGCTTTCATCGCTGCGAGTGCAAAGCAGGACCCTGCGTTGGATGATCAGAGCCTGAAAACATTTTCTTAAAATTTTTTAAAAATATTTTTTATTTATTTCTAGGATAGAGAGACAGCGTGAGCAGGGGAGGGTCAGAGAAAGAGGGAGACACAGACTCTGAAATAGGCTCCAGGCTCTGAGCTGGCAGTCAGCACAGAGTCCGATGCGGGGCTCAAACCCACCAACTGCGAGATCATGACCTAAGCGAAAGTCGGACGCTTAACCAACTAAGCCACCCAGGCGCCCCTGAAAACATTTTTTAAAAGCACAGGGTGAGGACTCCAAGAATGTTAACTGAAATATCAACAGAGATTCTCCCTGGGTGCTGAGGACAAGGGTTATTTCTTTTCCCCTTCTGCTTCTTGGAATTTTCCAAATTTTCTGGGACCAATAAACACAATAGAAAAGTTTAACTAGATTGGTCGTGTTAGGTCTTCAGGGTGTAAAACGAATCCAGCCCTTGTGTGGGTGTGTGAGTGCGTGTGCAAGTCACAGTAGTGTGAGGGTGTGGACACAAATGTGTAAGCGTGTGGGCATCAGAATGAATACCATGAACTTCAGTGTGTGGAGGTGTGAGTGACCATGTGCAAACGAGCGAGTGTGAAGTGTGTCGGCGTGGGTGTGTGAGTGGAGGTGAGTCGGTGTGGGCGCTGGTGTGCACATTTGGGTGTGTGATGGCTGGGTGGCTGTGGAGGCAGGTATGTGAGACGTGTGCAGGAATGTGTGTGCACATGTGTGAGCATCTGAGTGTGAACTACAATATAGAGGGGTATTTGTGTGTGAGTGGCCATGTGTGGGTGTAAGTGTGAATCCATGCTCCTGCTCATGAAGGTGTGTGAAAGCGGGAGAGAAGGCGGGGTTGGGGCATGTGTGAGCGAGGGCAACAATCCGCGGGCCTGGCCTGGGGAGTCCAGAGGTTTCAAGTCTGCACCCCTCTTCCGGGACCCCCATCTCCTTCCTCCCCGGGGGGCGGTCCTCAGGGCTTCACCGAGGCCCTGCTCCTGGCTTTAGCCAACTTCGGCCCGCGATGCAGCGCGTGGCCTGGGCGGCCAGGGAAAAGGGCCAAAGGTCGCATCCAGCACCTCCCGCAGAGCCGACGGGAGCCAACGGGAAAGCTCCAAGGGAAAGCATGCTCCGTGACACCAGCTACCTCTTGGCCTGGGACCCGCGGTGTGAGACACGCACATTCACTCATTCACTTGCCACCCGGCCAGTGTGGGGCCCCAGGTGGGCCACGGGCACTCCCAGAGGGTACTCGGCTCTGGAAAGTCAGGGCTCCGCAATGCTCTTCCACCACCAGGAAAGGCAAACCTGGCAACAAATAAATCCTGTGCAAAGCTCCTGGTGATGATCAAAGCTTATCATTCTTTTTTTTTTTTTTTAAGGTTTTTATTCATTTATTTTGAGAAACAGAAGCAGGGGAAGGGCACGGAGAGAGAGAATCCCAAGCAGGCTCTGCGCTGTCAGCATGGAGCCCAACACAGTGCTCCATCCCACAAACCGTGAGATCATGACCTGAGCAGAAATCAAGAATCAGACGTTTAACTGACTGAGCCACCCGAGTGCCCCTGAAGCTTGTCATTCTCGCCACCCCTCCCTCCTCCAGCCTCGGCTCCCGAGGCTTCCGCCACAAGAGCAGCTTTACTTGAGATCATTTCAATTTTTTTGAGGCGAGGCTGCCTCACACCCCGTGGGGCCCAGGTGCGTCCTGGCCTTTCCAGGCCGTGCTGAGCTCTTCACGTTTCTCTGCCCTCGGTGGCACGGTGCTCCCCATAGGTCAGGGGTACGTGCTCAGGAGGCCTCTGGGAGACATGAGTCCTCCAAGGATCCGAAGGCCCCTGCTCCTCCATGACAACCCACAAGGCCGGGGGAGGCTGGCCAGATGGGGACAAAGGGCCCAGTGGACAACGGTCCTGTGTGCAGGTGTCCTTGCCCGACCACAAGGCCCTCACTAAACATGCCACACCAGGCTCCTGTTCCACATGCTCTGCCAGTGAGACCCCCCCCTCCCTTAACATGACCCCAGCGGGGGCTGCAAGTAGAGGAGGGCAGACCCATGTCCCTGTGACCGTTTCAGTCAAAAGAGTTGTCTGGAGGTGATGTCCAAGCCTAGGGCACGTCCTCTAGGTTTTCCTGGGACCCAGCCACTGTGCCGTGAGGAAACCCACGCAGCCCACGTGGAGAGGCCACACGTAGTTATTCCGGCCACAGGCCCAGCAGAGGTCCCGGTGGACAGACAGCATCAACCACCATCACCTAAGCGAAGATGCTTCTGGAAGATTCAAGCCACCAGAAGAGGCTCTGGGCACCGGGGAACTGGGCCAAGCCACCATGCAAAGCCCTGTCCAAAACCTGCCCATGGAGGCCATGAACACCTCCCAACTGCTCGTCTACACCCCGACGTCGCAGAGGCTCGTCTACACCAGCAGCGGCATACTGCATGGTTTCCCGCCCTGGCTCCACCCTCCACCACTTACCTGTCACCCTAACGATGGGGTCACATGTGTATCTGAAGCACAGGCTGCCGAGATTTCTCGTTCCTACGCTCTCACGGTCCAGTCTGGCTTCAGCAGCACGGAGGGTGGGCCTGCCCCTCCTGGCCCCCGAGAGCACTGTCCCCTCAGGTTCTCAGTGGCTCCGGGCCGAAGCGGACCATCGTGGGGAGTCCTGCAGGTAGGGAGGTGCTGGCCAAGCTCGGGCGACTCTCCTCTCGAGAACCAGGCAGGGAGCTCAGGAGGTGTCCCGGAGCCCTCTTCGGCCCACCCGATGGTCCCCACCCTTGTCCCTCTGTCCTGCAGCATCCAGCCCATCCCCCCTCCCCCAAATCCAGGCCCCTGCTCCTGCCCCGGATGCCTGCCCGCCCGCCCTGGTTTCTCTGCCTCGCTCCCCACGCTGCAGCCACAGCCCCTCCCCTGCTGAAGGACATTTCTGCCTAAAACAGATGCTGCAAATAAGCCCGTCCCGGAAGCACAAATCCTGTCACTCCTCTGAGGTCCCTGGTGTCATCAGACTCATGGAGACAGAGAGGCAGGGGCTGAGGACAATCTCAGCGTGGGAAGATGGAAAGTTCTGGAGTCAGATGGTGGTGATGGCTGCACGGTGTGTGAATGTGCTCAGTGCCCCTCAGCTGGACACTCAAATAGTTAAGATAGTAAATTTGTTATATATATTTTGCCACAAGTAAAAATACATATAGAGGGGCGCCTGGGTGGCTGAGTCAGTTAAGCCTCTGATTTCAGCTCAGGTCATGATCTTACAGTCTATGAGTTCGAGCCCTGCGTCAGGCTCTGTGCTGACAGCTCAGAGCCGGGAGTCTGCTTCTGATTCTGTCTCCCTTTCTCTGCCCCTCCCCTGCTCGTGCTCTGTCTCAGTCTCTTTCAAAAGTAAACATTGAAAAAATTTTAAGAAAAGATACAAAAATACATTAAAAATTTTCTTAAATACATACACATATAACAAACAAAACGGCTACGGTGCCCATGGTTCCTGGACAACACCTATGCCAGCCAGTCACCAGGCACTGCTAGAGTGCAGACCACCACTGGGGAGCAGAGAGCTGCTTCAGCCATGCTGTGTCCCATGCCCTGCCTGCCGGGCTGCCTCCTCCCCAGCACACACGGACTGACCCACCACCTCCGGGGAGCCCTGGGCGGCCTCCAGAGCCTTCTCTGGGGCTCATGTGTCCGTCCAGGTAACCCCAACGTCACAACAGCCATGGGTGAGGAGTGCCCCCCAGCCTTGGCCAACGCCCCCGGGGCTGGGGAGGGTTGCAGGGGAAACATCAGGGAGGATCCCCACTGGAAGTACTGCATGGCCACCTGGTTTTCTAAATCAAGTCCACTTTATTTGAAACTTTTCACATGCCACAAGTTTACATGAAAATATCCATTCAAAATGTCATGTGGACACAAAATTCAGGAGTGGGCATCACCAGACGGCTGAGGAGGTCTGTGTGGAAAGGCAGGTGACACATATTTGGTCACTTAGCACCTGGTCACCACATACTGTGAGACCCCTGGCCAACTTACCCCGCGCCCCCTGGAAATGTGCCGAGCGCAATGCCCTGGGCCAGTCGCACGGGGACAGGCAGTGGCAGGTGGGCAGAGGGGCAGCTGGTGCCGGCGCTGGACACCCACCTGTGCCACGGGTGTCATGTGACCCCCCCCCCCAACCTGCTCATTCCACCGAGCACAGCAGGGACACGTCCTGTCCATGCTGTCAGGACTCCACGGAAAGCCACTCTCTCGTCGGGTCTAGAGCTCCTGGCAAAACCGAGCCTCCCAGGAGGCAAGCTTGGCTCCCTGACCTCACGGCAACGAGCAGCCGGGGCCCCATGTTCCCTATCCAGCAGGCCCGGAGTGGACCCAGTAACGTTCCCGCAACGCCCCCACTCCCGTGGTTTCTGGAGGAGCTCCAGAAGGTAGACATCCAGGCGACACCTACCAGCCTGCATCCTAGACCTCGGAAATCCCGTGAGAACCCTGTGCCCCCACCACGGAGGAGGCTGCTGGGCACCACACAGGCACCCGCACCCCTGCTGCACAATCCCGTCCCCTCCTGTCCAAGCAGAGGACGAGGTTTGGGGCCGCGAGAACTGCAGCCTCTAGTCCTCCTTCCACGTCTCCATCGCCTCCCGTTTTCTGGCCAAAACCACCGGAGTCCCCCACTGCCGGCCGCATTCATGCCTCACTCCGCGTTATTTCTTCTTATAAAGTGTCAGCAGTTCGCCAACCCCCGAGGAGCAAATAACAAGAGCAAGCTGAAGCAGGAGGCTGCCCGCTGCCCCAGGGCCACTCAGAGGTCGTGAGGGTGGCTCCCCAGGGCAGGGTCCCCATCCCGCAAAGTGGAAAGAGGCCACGGGGTCGCCGCCTTCTTGGCCCAGACTCGGGGAGGGCTGCTGGCCTGATCAGGATGGCACGTGCTGGTTTCAGACCCCTGTGGGCCCACAGACATCTGGGTCCTCCGGCTCCTGCGGCCTAGCGTCCCCCGGCCCGCTCTCCCAGCCAGGGACCCGCTACACTTCGTCCTCCCGGCCCAGTGGCCCGCAGCGGGGGTCGCCCGAGGTGTGTGCGGCGTCATCCAGGCCCTGTCCCGGATGAGCAGAGCACACCCTCCAGCTGGGAGGACATGTGGGCCCAGACCCTCGAATCCTTGGTTTCTCAGAAGGGCAGCTGCCAGGCAGGGATAAGGTCTGCACCCCGTCATATGACAGAGGGAAGTAGCCCCCGTCCAGCCTACTTGGGCTCGGAAATGAAAATACTCACACGTGACAATGAAAAGCCAATCGCAGGGAAGGGAGCCTGCAGGCCCCTGCTCTCCTCGTGCTTGGGGTACACCCCCCAGGGGAGCACCTTCAGACTCTCAGCCAGGGGCCCTGGTGGTGTGGTAGCAAGTCAGAGCCTGGGGAGCAGCAGGGCCGGGTGGGGAAAGGAGCGAGGGGCGAGCCAGCAGGTCCGGGGGCGCACTGGGCCCACCAGGGAGCAGCGGCCGTGGGAGGGCAGGGGGTTCCTATTTCAACAGAGGGATAAACACCCTGATCTCTCCTCCCTCATTCCCACCTTGCCTCCGGGGGCTGTTTTCTCTCCCTCTCCCACACATGTGCACCCGTGCACACGTGCAAAGATGCATACTTGATCACATGCAGAGATGTGCACACACGCGTGCACACAACACATGTGCACACAGCAGACTACACACACATGTGCGCGCGCAGACGGACACACACGCACATGCGGCCACCGGCGCTGACCCGGCCCCTCTCAGCAGGCAGCATATGGTCCGCACTTAACAGCCCAGTTCTGCCAATTGGGGACCATTAGGGTGGGTTCTTTTCCCAGCATAAAATGCTGCAGAATATAAATTGCAATTAACGCCGCTGCCAAAATGGCACTTAGCGAGAATAAGCACATTATTAACATCTGGTGGATCCTGTCTCGGGTGTTGAAGCAGCGGAAATTCCTGCTCTAAGTAAAAGAATGGCTACGGGGGACACTAAAAATACAGGGTCTACTGTTTGGGGGCCGCGTTCCATGGCAGCTCATGCCCCCAGGCTCTGCCGAACGGCCCCTCCCAGCCTGCTTGGTGGCATAAGAAACGCCCTGGTTGAAGCTGCTTGCTCATGAGAACAGGCCAGGGGGGGAGCGCGGGAACACACGATCGCAGCCCATAAAGCACATCCTCCAGCCCAAGCCTGGCTTGCTCTGAAGGCCAGGGCACCCAGAGCCACCCAGGGCCCTGGCCCACCTCCCTGCTGGGTCACACCTCCCTAGCGGTCATGCCATGGCCAGACACGAGCATGAAAGTGCACAGTCCCTGTACCACCCTTCCTGACCACCCTTCTTGGCCAGGGACCTCTAAGTACCACCTGAAAGACATGTACCCAAACTGGGGAGGGGAGATGCTCCCACCAACGCTCAGACCCTCATTTATGGCCATGTGGCCCTCTGGGGACCTTGGCTCTGTATCTCTGGGGCTCAGGGCAGTCTCTCCCTCAGCCTGCAAGGCCAGGCGTAGCTTTCGGACCACAGCAGGACCTCCAAGGTGAAGGCTGTAGGGCCGGCAGACCAGTCCCTCTGGCCAGGTTGGCAAGAACCAGCAGCTGCAGCCAGGGCAGGGAAGGGGCACGTGAACCGCCCCTCCACCCATGCAAACCCCATCCACTCAGACAGGGGAGAGGAGAGCGCTGGGACGCACAGAGGCTGCCGGGCAGACCGCTCCTCCCAGGACCCTGACCCCAGCCCTGCTTGATCCCTGCAGCTGCTGTCTGCCCATCCCCAGCCCCGGACTCCCCCAACCCGGTGGGGTCGGGGGCTGCTGAACCGTTTGCCCTTCAAGAGTCCAGGGAAGGAAAAGCAAATGAAAAACCCAGGGACCTGGTCTTCTAAAGATAAACCGCAGGACATGCTACATACACACAACAGGAGAGTCAGGGAGACCGTCCCCACAGAAAGAGTGGGAAGATGGCCGGGCTGGGGGCCGGAGAGCAGCCGACAGCCGGTGTGGGCCCCGCAGTCTGAGCAGGGCCCAGCGGGCTCCGCGCCCCTAGCCCAGAGCAAGAGGCCACCCCTGCAGAGACTGGCTCGCCCCCGGCCGGCTGGCAACCGGCAGCCCTGCGGGTTTCCAGGAGCATCTCCAAGGCCAGGCGGGGCCGGACTCCGGGTGGAGGGAGCCCAACCACAGCCCCGAGGAAGCTCCCGGCCAAGGGCCCACCGGCTCTGGGGGGGATCTTGCAGTCGAGAAGGCAGAGGCAGTGGGCTCCGCACAGGGAGCGAGGCCCTGGACGTTGGGCGGTCGCTCCCCATTTTTGGAATAGCTGCACTGAATTTTTTAAAGTGCTAAATAAAGCTGTATGAAACAGGGTAATCTGATCAGTACTCTGGCCTTAGATATCCTTGCTAAGTTTTAATATTTCAGGTTTCTTTAACGAAGTCGGTTTATCTGTACTTCCCCAGAAACACAGGTCTTTGTGGGGACTTCAGGTTCTAAAGCTGAATGTCATGACGGTCGTATGGCGGGCCAGATCCAAGGCCGCCCCCAGCAATCCCAGCCCCCGGGGGGCCCTGCCCAGCCAGCAGCCCTGACCGTGGCTGACACCGTCTGACTGGCAACACACTGGGGACATTATCGGGTTAAAACGAGTATTACTGGGAAGGAGAAGCCCAAACATGCAGCCACAAAACCTGTGAGCTCCTCCCCGCGTTGTGCTCCCCGCCTGCCAGAGGGAAGGGGAGCACGGTCACCAGCTGCGCCGTCGCGTCACAGGATGAGCCAAGTCACCCTCATGGGTACGTGCACTGTCACCCCAGCACTGGGCCCCCCCGGCTGCCCCTCCACAGAGCCTGACGGCAGGTGGCCCGGAACACATGTGCAGACAGACACTCTGGAGAGCTGAGTGGCGGTGGGGGCAGCTCTGGGGCCCTGCAGTGCTCTGGGGACCCAATCAGGGCCCCCGGGAGTCAGTGCCCTGTGATGGACGCGCGTCTCAGGTCAGGAACACCCACGCAGGGCCCCACAGGTCACCCTGACAGCCAGCTCTTCCTTCTCTTCCTTCCTTCAACTCACGTTTCGCTGAGCGCCAAGAGAAAGCAAGAGGAAGCCCCCGGGAGGCCCTGGGGGCGGGGGTGGGCGCACTGGACAGCCCGGTGGGTGGGGCTTCCTTCCTCTTGCGATGCAACGGGCCCTGGCGTCCAGCAGGGGCGGGTGGAGAGCAGCAGCAAGGCCACGTGCCCAATCAGGGCAGTCCTGTGTCCTGGCCGAGATGGACAGAGGTGACGGCAGCAGGCAGGAGACTTGGCTGACGGTAGCAGCTTCAGTCAGTGCGAGCTGTCCCTGTCACCACCACAAGTTTGGTGGCTCCTCGGCCACTCTGCTTTTAAATAAGGTGATCTCATCCAGGTGCACCATGGGGACGTCCCGGATGACATTGGTCAGGCCCTCGTGGAGTAGAGGAAAGATGACGACGTTCAGCGCGGGCCGCTCGGCCTGGAAACTGAATGAGAGGCAAGCCATTAGCGGGGGCCCTGGGGTGTGGAGGAGGTGGGAGCCGCAGGGGGGAGGTGCAGGGCCGAGCCAGCCCTCTTACCAGCAGAAATGGGCCCCCAGGCCCTGCATGCTGAGGCTTCAGGAGAGGCAGGGAGAGGGTGGGACAGAGGGAGAGACACAGACCTTGGGTGGTGCCATTTCTGTGGGGTTCACAGGAGACCCCTATTCCCCTGCCAAGGGAGGGCCCGGAGAGTGGCCAACACATTCTTACACAGCAGGGGCTCCTGGGAGCTGCAGAAGCCATGCCTCTGGCCACCCAAGGCTCCGTGGCCAGGACAACACCCTCAGGAGGTAGAGAAAGGCATGGCAGCCAAACCTGCCTGCACACAGGCCACCCTCAAGGGGCACAGAACCCCAAGTCAGGTGAGGCAGTACCTTTGCCCGGCCTTGCTGCTGGGATCCCTGAGGCCTCACCTGGAGTCGTGACAAATGGCAGTCAGATATCCTCCCCAGGCCACAGAGGGGGCAGTATGCCCTGCCCGCAGCACACGGGAAGCGTCCAACTACCATGGAGAGTCTCTGTCACCCTCCCCGGGGACCCGTGTGGACAACCCCCTTCACCCTGGCTGTGGGGCCCCTCTCTCCCTCCTCAGAGCAAAGTCCCTGCTTGTACCCTCCTACCCCGTGCAGTGGCCAGGAGACAAAACACAAGTACACTGCAGGAGCCTCAGAAGGGTGACACGCTGGTCCCCGTGGAGTGAGACAGAAGACCTCTAGACCCCAGAGCGACTCTGGTTCCGGAAGAAAGGCCCGAGCCTGTTGAAAGAGACGGGGAAACTGCAGCCACAGCCCTCCCTGTAGCCCCCAGCGGACCCAGTGAGGGATTTACGACACACGTAAAGTAAATGCCAAAAAGGTACTCATAAAGCTGGATGCTTGGGCAATAAAGATGCCAAGAAAATGCCTCCCACTTCTGCATTCAGTGTCTGCTCGCCAGCAACAGGGTGACTGTGAATCTCGAGGCAGGTCCTTGCCTGCAAGCCTGCAGTGCACTTTACTCGAAACACAATCTCCCCGGATGTGGGACGTGCCGGCATGGACGCCTGGCCAGCCTGCCCCCGAGGCGGCGTCACCCCAGGCTCCTCACAAGCTGCTGTCAAGAGGCTAACGGGGGATTAACGTCTCACCCAGGGCCAGGACAGGAATGCGGCTGCCTGCCTGGCCTCGCTCCTTGCACGCAGCCGTCCGGGTGGCCCAGCCCAGGAGCCTTAGGGGCCGCACACAGAAGGTCTCCGGGACCACGGTGGAGGTGCCACCACCACAACTGAACCCCAAGTCTTTCTCTCAGTTCACACCAGGATGCACGTGGACTTGGACAGAGCCCAGGAGCACACCCCCAGTCGCGGTCTGCAGAGCTCCTCCCTGGGCCTCAAGGAGCCCATGCTCTCTCAGCCACGGCCTCTTCGCCCCTTCAGGGTGGCGCCCACAGCCGGGGCAGCCAGCAGCACCACTCAACGTGGCACAGCAGGCGGGCCTTGCCCAGAGTGAAGCTGAGAAGCAGTGACAAGCGGGAAGATGGCAATCACTCACGTCCAAGTGCAGGGCTGAGGCTGCCTTTGGGAGGGAGGAGGCCCCACGGGTGGAGGAGAGTCCTTGGTAGGGCAGGTGTGGCAGAGGCGGCGGGGGGGGGGGGGGCACTCGTGTGATCTGTTCTGCTTCCAGTATCCTGCCACATAACTTACATACATGCTATAACGTTCTTCTGTATGATTCAAATATAGTTTGAGATTCAAGTAAACAGATCCAGCGAAATAAAGCTTCTGGCTACCCACATTCAGAAGTCATGCTTCTGAGGACAGGTCACCCCTCAGGACCTCTCCCCTGCTCAGGGCCAGCTACACTGCTCACATAAAGACCCAAGGCCAAGGCTTCTGGCCCTGAGTCACAGAGGGCAAGAGTCAGCACTCGGAGGTCTCCGGTCGTGATCCTCAGGCCCGTCTATGCCCCATGCTGTCCTGGGCAGCAACGCCAGCATGGGACAGGCATAGGGCAGAGCACAGGCCAGGCGCCCTGGCCTTCTCAGAATTGCACTAGCAGGAACCTCGCCAAGGAACAGAGGGGACCCACGCACCGAGGCCTGCTCACCTGTCCTGACATTGGCACCTGTGAGCTCAATCGCCAGGCTCCCAGGACAGCGGGAGGGGAATGAGAAGCAGGGGAACCACAGGTCCCTGTGGATGGGGCAGAAAGGTGCCCTTCCTGGAGGGCCAGAGGACGACGCTTAAGAAAGGTGACCTATACTTACTCTCCACCATTTGGGAGGGAAGAAAACCCCCACCTGGGCCTGCTGCGCACACACCAGGGGGACTGAGATGGCGCCTCCACTGTTCCAAGACCTCAGGACCCAAAATGTCTTTTCCACATGTTCTCGAAGCAGAAAAGTGTTTGATTTCTAAACCGGTGCTCTGTTTAAAGAGAAACTGTGACAGAGACTGTGTGCAGGAGAGCACAGGGCCCGGGCGCCCTCCTCAGCGTGTCTCACTGTTGTCCTCAACACACCTGATGCAGATGCGGCTCAGGGGAAGCAGCAAAACACACAGAACGCGGGTCGGGATTGCTGTACTTCCAGTCCCTGACATCTGCACGTTAAACAAGGACATAGCGTGGCCACAGCAGCTGGGACTGTGCAGCCCGGCCTGACGGAGACGGGGTGCCCAGCACAGTGACTCAGGCATCACCCAGGCCACACACGCGCACTACTACCCTTTTACTACCATGCTGGTCAATGTCACCTAATTCGGTACAATTATTTCTGCACTTTGAATGGTTTCCTCAGAGTAATTCCCAGAAACGAGGTTACTGGGTCAAAATGCACGAACATTTTCACACCTCACAAGACAAGGCCGTAATGATCTTAGCAGCAGTGAGGGCCCCAGTGAGGAGCCCTTGGGGCTGGGGGGGGGGGGGTCAAGAGAATGCTATTCCAGAGCGATGACGATGGAGCATGGCTGGGGACTCCCCGATATGCTAGGGCACCTTTGTCCTGTGAACGCACTGTGCATTGGCCTGCCAGGGTACTGGCCCGGGCTCCAGCCCCTCAGCAACACGAGCAGACGACATGAGGGCTCGGCACGGCTACCACACTGGAGCCAACTCTGGGCCCACCTCTGGAGCATGGGGGGGCACCCTGCACCCAGCCTGCAGGGGCCACAGATGCGGAAAGGGCTCCTGGAGGTGCGGGCCGGACAAAGTTCCGTCAGCTTCGTAACACCTGTCGGGTGTTCTTTGTAGAGAAACTAGAGGCACCACTGAGGCTCACGGCCTCTTCCCCCCAAGATAAAGGTCTTCTAGAAAAGCCAAAGTGGGAAGAGAAGTCTGAGAAGCCACCCACACCATAACAATGGTCTTCAAGAAGCGCAAAGACCGACGGCAAAAATACGTAAACCCGGCAGCTGGGAGGGGGAAGGGCCTTCTGTCAGAGGCGGGAGAACTCAGCTGAGTCGGGGAGCAGCACAGGTGCACCTTCCGAGCTCCCAGATGATCCTGAGGATGCCCAGCGCCAACCTCGGAGCGGCCCGGTTCTGCCCGCGGATCCTTCCCTCATGGCCACGGAGGACCCGAGGAGAGACTAGCGAGCAGATGAAGCTGCCGTGGGACACTGGACCTCACCCACCACGTGGGTGGCCTGGACAATCTGGACCACAGGAGGTTTTAACCACTGAACCATCCTCTGCGCTGATCGGCAGCCCAGGGCTTGAGTCCGGTCCCTGACGTGGCTCTCCGGCCCCACTGGCTGGTGGCCACCGTGGGTCCCATGGCACCTGGCCCAAGGCCTGCCCACTCCCAGATCCAGCCCCTTAGGACTCCCCCAAATGGAGCCAGAACTCGTCTGCCTCCAAGCTCTGAGGCAAGGCCAAGGGCTCCCCAGCTGAGCCTGCAGAAGCGAAGCCCTGCTGTCCGGGCCCTTTTCCGGGTCACATGCAGATCGGCATTCCAGGTGCAAAGGACGAAACCCTCCCAGGGACCTGCCCGGAAACCGTGGTGAGGCAACACCAGTCACAGTGGAGCTCAACCGCCCCTCTACCAGCAATTAAGGCTGCAAAACAGTGCTAATTCTGTATTTTAAAATCCACATTCAATTGTAAAGCTCCCAAGGTTCCCCAGACTTCGACAATTCATCACTCCATCTGTAAACTTTACTCGTTTCCGAACACGTTTGCAGAACACAAGCACAGGTGGAGAGCCCCGCACCAGTTCCAGGCCCAAAGCAGCCCAGCAGGGTGGGCGGTCCTAGCCCCAGGCCCCTGAGCCCCCCCCCCCCCCCCGCCGGTGGCCGCCTGCAAGCAGCTCCCCGCATGCTGCAAGCCCGGGCAGGCTCGGGGCCACCACTCCAGCTCAGGCAGCTGGGAACTCCCAGCCAACCGCCTGCCTACAGACCTCACAGGCCCACATTCCTCGCCAGGACTCCTGGGGGGTGGGGGGGATTCCCACAGGCCTCAGAGGCAGAGACGGGACCAGGATGTCAGGTCAGGTGGGATGTCCCACCCGAGGCGCACTGGCTCAGGGAACTGGAGGACAAGGCCTTCCCCTGCCCAGGGTTGGTGTTCTCGACATTCCTGAAAAATGAGGCTGCCCCACTCCGACTTGAGACCCTTCAGGATGACAAATGACAGAGGTCAGTGACACACATGGCCTAGGAAGGCCAGGGACGGGAGGTGGCGCCCAGGGCCACCGGGCTACCACTTTCTGGAAAGCACTCAGGTGAGTTTCAGAACCAGCATGTCCTAACATCAGACAACTCCGGCAACGGGCAGGGGAGGAGTCAGGGCCCAGCCTCCTCTGCCCCACCCACCTGCTTCCCTAAGTGGCCCTGCCATGGAGACCAGGTATGGGGGGTGGGGGGGGAGATCACAAGAGCAGCAGAGGGCCACTCACTCACAGGATGACCACGACAGTCCCTGACCTCACAGAGCTAGGCAGCCCCAACTGCAAGGCAGAAGGCCTGGC